AGACACTTATAAGTGTGGCTGTCCATGTTTATTTTCTGTCCCAAGAGTGATGCAGACTATACAAACAAGGGACTAGGGATTCAGCTTAGTGGTAGAACATCTGCCCGGCATGTTCAATGGCCTGGATTTGATTTCCAGAATTCAGAAAAGTAAAAATAAAATAGTAAATACCAACGACACGCTTGACAGACATACAGGGACCATCCTAACAGTTGGGCTGGTTTTTAGGCGGGGCTCTGTGCTTTTTCCATCTATAGCTATTTCTGTCCCTAGCCACCCACACTGGCCTCCTTTGCTCCCTGCCTCTGCCCAGATCAGGTCAGACTTCCACTCCTGCCTAGATATCTGGAATGATCTCCACTCTTGGGAGTCACAGGATTACTTCTTTTCAAAATACACTTCTTGTTCAAGGTTGCAGTGGAGAGTGTGCACAAAGCCCTGTTAAGATGGGCACTGATTTTTGTTTCTTTCTTTGTTTTATTTTGCTTTTGTGTCTGAGACAGGGTCTCCACACTGGAGCCCAGACTGGCCTGGAACTCACTATGTGGCCCAGGCTAACCCAAAGAGGTTTTTCTGCCTCCATTTCCCAGCGTTAGGGTTTCTGGCATGCATGCCCACCTATGAGGTGCTTATTATTGTTGTGGTTAGTGTGCGGTTTGGAAGCTCAGCGTCAGTGCATTCTGGTGGGCGGACTGAGGAATTATATTCCCAAGGATCCTGCTGTGTCTCAGGGTTAACATGCTGCCCATAACAACTGGTAGGGGAAACTCTTCACTTAAGGGAAACAGCCCACACCTGTTCAGAGGTCTAGACTCAGCCAGGATGAACTCCAACTCCAGGATGAATTCCAACAGAAGATCCAGTTTTTTGCTGGGTGGAGCTAGCCAGGATGCTTCTGCATTTTTACTTTGGCCTGGGAGCCTTGGGTCCTAACTAGGCCTGGACCTTCTTCTTCTTCCCAGGCAGGAGGAATCTGTGTCCAGAGGAATGTCCTGGTTAGCAAGTGCCATGCTCTGCTGTGGAGCAGAGTTGAACTGTCTAAGATGGCAGCAGGCTTCCGTTTAGCTTATTAGACTAGCAGTACCAGATGAACGTCCAGTCCTTCCTCCGACACTCATAGAACAAGGGATGAGTAGCCACAACCTCACAACTCAGGACGTTTTCTGCTGAGACAGTGTGGCCAACAAGAGACCCAGGACATGTGGCAGGATATGCCATATGCAGGGTATAGATGCTAAGACTTATTCGGGGCTCAGGGCAAGGCAGCTTTGGAAGACCAGAGTGTCAAGAAAGGTGAGGTTACTGTTCTCAAAGTTCAACAAGCTGATTTGATTCAGGCAGGAAAGGACAAGAAAGCAACTATACTTGGAGTAAACAGACTGAGAGAAGCACAAAGTGAAGAAAGAAAATAAAAAAAAAAAAATCCAAGGCAAATTTATGATGTCAGGCCCTGACAAGGCACAGCCTGAGCAGTTGGCTTTCCACCCACGGCTCAGCCCTGCAAGGCCCGCTGACAGCAGCTGTGTACTCATGCTGCCCCCTGTTGGCTTCCATGGAGCACAGCAGTGGAAACTGGAAAAGCGCTTAGTTGCAGCCTTTAGTTTATTCATCCTGGCTGCTGTTACACAGCAACCAGCCCTCTGGTGATAGACTAGAGCCAGTTCTGCGGCTGAATAGGACTTTAGAAGCAGTAGCAGGGTATCCCCAACAAGAGCCCAGGTTTCTGTCTGTAGACCTCAGAGTGGTGGAACTGGATGAGTTGTGGGCCCTCTAGCTCTACCTTCTGTAACTCTGGATGAAGGCAACATACCAAGAATAGAACGATGTTCTGGATGAAAATAACATACCAAGAATAGAACCATGTGTCCATGGATGCCAGATAAACTGGGTACGGCAGAAAATAATTTACATACTGCCTAAGCTAGGACATTCTGGCTCAGTAACATGGCTGCATTCAATGGGCCAACTTAACTCTGGAGCTTTGCCTATAGCTCATTCAAGTTAGACTGAAGTAGGAATCTTGCTGTCACATGGGGGTGGGGTGGGGGATACATTCAGATTTTGCATCTATTTGAGGGTCCTCTGCTATCTAGCACCAGGTATTTTGAAACGAAAAATCTGCATAGCTCAGCTGAAGGTCTCTTACAGAATGCCTGGTGCGGCATAGACAAGGGTACTGCACTGTCAACATACCTGTGTGTACGATTTAGAAAGCATCACCCCTCAGAGGCACAGCTCTTGTCTTCAGAGAAGGCTTTTTCCTGGGCACTCTTCGGTGTCCACTCACAGGCATGGCAAGTCTCAGAGTTAAGGAAGTGTCTTTCTCCCGTCTTCCTGGGAGCTGTTCAAAGGCTTCTGAGCCTACAGTTGATCCACTTACACCTTCACTTTCCTGAGTCCCCCTAATGACAGTAGGGCTTCTTCAGATCTGGGGCCCTGGTTGTCCTAACAGGTTTGTTGTGCTGTGTACCTAATCACCCTTCCTGCCCACCCTTGCGCCCTCCCACACTGACCCCCTTCTCGCTATCCTTTCTCTCCTTTGTTAGATGGACATTAAGTGGTTGAGGGAGATGTGAATGAGGGTGGTGTGAAGTCATGGGAGCCCCACCAGGTCCGAAACCCACTGGCGTTTTCTGACGAGGAGGAGGAGGAGGACCTGTTGGAGTTCATATACAAGTATAAGGCACCGAGGAGGACCGAGTTGCCCCTGGAGGTACATGGTGTCTGTGGGTATAGGCTAGAGCATGTGTTTGCACTAGAGATCTGGGTGTCCTGAGAATGGCATCACATGTGATATCCAACACTCTCTGAGTATTCCCTCCATCAAACAGGTAGGACAAACCACCAGCTACCAGCCAAGATCTCTGTGTGTGTGCGTGCGTGTGTGTACACTCGTGTATATACAGCCACCCATGGAGTCCAGGACAGTAAGTGCCTCACCAGATGAGTTATTTCCCCAGTGCCAGTTCTTTAACGTTATCAGAAAACAATATACTTAGCACTATGAGCAACTGTGGATATAGTCAGTGTTTTGGCAGCAGAAGGACCATGCCTGTGACTCGTAGGCTGTGTTCTGTGACATAGGTGGAGAGTTACTAGTCACAGGCTCAGGGAAAAGCCACTCAGTTCCTTTCTGATTCTTTATCTACTGAACCTTCTGGCCTGAGGGTCCATTGTGAAAAAGTCATGATTCCTGTCACATACAAAATTGGAGGCCCTGGTGAGAATCGGATGAGATGCTCAGAAACATTCCCCTTCATAAGCCTGGAATCCCAGCATTCCTGTTGTCTCTGAGACAGAAGCTACAGCCACCTCAGATATAGGGGTTCCTCACATTCCTGGACAAGATGGATCATTTCATATTCTCTCATATATTCTTTCCCCCTCCCTTCTCCAGTGCTAGGAATCAAAACAGAGCCACCCATATATGCTAGGCAAACATTCTACCGCTGAGCTATGTCTCCAACCAGTCAGTGAGGATTAGTTCTGGGTACTGGATGAGTCCTATCTGGCCTCAGGATCTGGGAAACCTCATGATGGGAGAGTTCACTCTAAATCTCTAAATATCCCAGAGCCCAAGGGATTGTTGTTGGTTTTTGTTTGTTTGGAGTTTTGTTACTGTTGTTTTTGAGACAGGGTCTCATTCTATAGCCCAATCTGGCCTCGATCTTTCTCTGTAGTAGAGGCTGGCCATGAACACCTGATGCTCCTGCCTCTACCTCCTGAATACTGGGATCACAGGTGTGCATCACCACACCTAGCTGTGGTTTTAAAGCTTTGCACATAGCTCTCCTGTTTACTGTAATGGCCAAGAGGCGGGTGCCTAAAGAGGGAGATTTTATTGCCATGGTCTCAGGCAACATCTAGAAGTGAGAAGTGAACATTCCCTACCAGTGAGGCAATGATCTGAGTCATCTGGGGGAGCACTGAGCCAGTCAGTCACCAGGAGATGGTGGTGGAGGGGACACAGGCCTCAGGAAGTTCAGTCTGATGGGCAGTGGAGGGAGATATTCCATACCCTGGCTTGGATACTAAGCCCTCTGCTGTGGCGCATATGCAAAGCACTATGAGGAAAAGGAGCTGGAGGTATACATCTTGTGGGTAGGGTACTTGTTTAGCAATGTATGTACCCTGTGATCAATGCTCCAGTATGGGAGGGAAACAAACACTCAGCCCTGTGTGGAGCACATCTTTAATGTCAACACTACACTTGGAAGGCTGAAGCAGGGGGATCACCACAAGTTTGAGGCTAGCCTGGGATACAAAATGATCTCGTGGCCACCCTGAGCTACTTAGAATAATCCTGTCTCAAATGAATGAACAACACTAGCCAAACTACTATGAGAGACAAAGGTGGCTGTGTGTGGTCAGGAAGAGGCCAGAGTCACAGGGTCTCCTAGACAAGTGACTTTGAAGCTGATGCTCAAGGGGACTAGAATACAAGAATATGGCTTCCAGTCAGAGGGGACAGCAGTGTGAAAGGATAGTGGAAAAGTTCTCTGTCCTTACAGGAAAGCTTAGGGCTGTGAACAGTGGATTAGGACCAAGAGTCTTTCTTTCATTTCTATCGTAATGCCTCCTGTGGTTTGTGCCTCCCCTGAGAGAAAAGATCTCCACAGTCATCTTCAGGGAGATGAGATAGTGTTGGCCTTCCAGGTGTGGCTTGCTGGAGAGTAAAAGGTTTCATGTCTAGAATGAGGACTGGAAGTTTGAAGCACACACCAGAAAACAGTTCCCAAAGGAAATATAGAAATCAGCAAAGGGCTGAAGCTGTCCCTTGTTCAACTCATTGAAACAAGGAAGACATGCCCTTCTGCATGCCCTTCCCTTCAGACTCAGGAAGGTGTGGTGGCCTTCCCAGGGGCTCACCTCAGCTGTTGTGGGGAACCCAGCTCTACCCAACAGAGGGAGCCGGCCCAAGTATCCCTGCCCCATGCTGTTCCCCAAGAATCCACCCTCAAGCCCCATGGAGGACATCCTCTCTCTGCTTTCTCTATCAGGCACCGCCTAGAACCCTTCGATCCCGCTTCAGGAAGAAAAGTACCTCATCCTCGGCCACTGAAACCACGTGAGATGAGCCAACAGCACCGGATCCACAGATGTCTGTCTCTCCTCTGCCTTAAAGAGCTAGTCGCTAGTACATGGAAATCCGCAGGCTGGGTGTGCTTTGAGTGTGCAGCCCCAAGACATGGCCTTTACTTACTCCCCTCTTCTGCCTTTTAAGAATTTTCTGTTTTCTTTCCTTTTTGTTCCTGCTGGGGAGAGGCTAAAGGGAAAAGGTGGTGGTGGAGGGTGACCTTTATGTCTTCTGGGGTTAGGAATTTTCCACAATTGGATTGTCATTGTGGCCACAGTGTTTTTAGATGTATAAGCACTCTTTCCATGATGCTGCTGAGATGTACATTTGTAATTTATTTGTTGCATAGTTTTTAGTCCTGTAAATGCAAACGAAGTGATCTTTTTTAAAACCCTTTTGTTGTTCTTGGTACTAATACATTGGACTATGGTGTATATATTTACAGCTTTGAGCTTAATGTAATGAACTCACAAGGGCTGCCAGAAGTTCTGGTGAGAAAGCTGCAAAAACAAAAACATAGACAAACATTTTGATTCTAGGCAATGTCTCCAACCTGCTTACAAAGCCAGTGTCTGTAGGGCATCCCTTCTCCTGCAGGAAGATGGCCATGGGCTTCTGATGGCTGTGTGTAAGTAGGCAGAGCTGAGGCAGGAGGAGTACAGTGTTCCAGCAACAGGGAAGAAGGTTGGTAGGCATCAAGGAAGAGGAAGGAAGAGTACGAGTGCGGCTTCTTCAGATCTGGGGCCCTGGCTGTCCTAAGAGGTTTGTTGTGCTGTACCTAACCTCACCTTTCCTGCCCTTTGGGTTCAAGGGCAGAAGCTTCCAAGCCCTTCAGGGAGCACTGGTACTGCTTCAGGCAGGCAGGCTCACCCTTAGCACAGCTGTTTGGGGGGTGGAGACTCAGCTGCTGGCAGAATTGCAAGTATCTCAGAAGCACTTGGCACGAGAGTTTCTCCTTCAGGGACCAGTGCTGTGGCTGATTGCTCCAGGAGAAGAAGCCTACATCTGAGCACCTTGTTTTAGAGTACACTAAGCAAAGAGAAAAGCCTACAACTAGGTTCTATTACAGACATGCTCAAAACATGAAACACTCAAATCTCAAATGCCTGCCAGAAGGCGGGGTCTAGGGATGACTGAGGCTAAGCCACAGGCAGCTGTGGCTCTTGCTACCTTCTGGCTTGTGTGGAATTTGACAGGATGCACTGACACTCATGCTCACTCCATGTCTTCATGGATGTTTTATACAAGCCAGGACTGCACTGAGAATTTTGACAATTCTCTGACTTAGATAACATTGCGTTCTGAGGGAGCTGCTCTCTCCTCTTGATAGCTGAGCCAAATCGTAGGGCTAGTCTATTTGTGCATAGAGTTGGTGTTTTCTTTCCATGTAATGCATGCAGTGGTCACAATCCAGTTACTCCTATTCGGATTATGTTTGTTCACAGCTATGCCCCGAAGGCTAGAGAAATAGTGTTGTATACCACGTAGAACTGTCAGCCGACTGCAAACAGGCTCAATTACAAACCCCTCTGATACTGAGCTATGCAAACATGCACTGGGAGACTGTTACACTGGCTGGGCCTTGGCCATTTCACGAAGGGTTTCAGTTGGAGTTCATTGCTGCCAGATACACCTAATGGAATTTTCTGAAGGTGATTTTGTATTTAGAACTAACCCTCAGGAACTAACCCAAGAGCTGATGACTGAGGGTAAATATTCTGCCTGTGCCCTGTACCCATCTGAACCCATTAAGAAAAGCATCTGTCTTCTTCAAACTCACCCAACAGCTCCAGACAGGAGAAATGATACCTTTAACACGTACGACCGTGTCAGTATCTGGACGAAGAGAAAGAGGTGCAGGAATGCCTGAAAGAAGCAGCTTTGCACCACCCCCTCCTCCGAAATAATAAACAGCTTTAGGGACAGTTTAAGTCCTAGTATATTTTCATTGTTTTTCAACAGGAAGTCATAACACATCTAGGCTCTCAAGTTTGTACTCAGCCATGCCAAAACCCGGTTTGAAGCACTCCTCTCAGACATGCTGTATTACTTCTTGCTCAAGATTTAAAATATTAAGGTATCTAAATCGTTGTCTTATTGTAAATGTAACTATTTTTCCTTCAAGTGTTGACTAAGAAGTTGTTTCCTCTCTTAAAGACACTCACTGTACAGCCAAACGCAGCTGTCTTCTTTCTTGAGAACTGTTTACTTTTCTGACAAGCTGTGTATTTGTATGTAGACTGACAAGCTGTGCATCTGTATGTAGACTGACATATGTGAATGACCCTGAACATGTAGAGGTGTGGTGCTGTCTACACAAGATAAATGAATGTTTCTAGTTTACTGACTTAAGACACAGGCTGTTTACAAATTGCTAGCTCGAAAGTCTACTTGTCTCAGCTTTGAGTTACTCTCCATGGAGCACATGCCCAATTTCTGAAGAGGTGAGGTTCGGTCTCATGCTCATTAACTGGAGATTTAGTCATAACGCCTCTGAGTTTGTGTGAATAGCTTCTCACTTTGCTGGCTTTGATATGTATGTTCTCTGTGGTAAACTGTCCATGTGTTTGTATTAAGAGTGCTTGTCAATTACAACCATCACGTAGCTGTCCCCGGTTCTTCTCCTTGCACAGTATTTGAAGTATTAGACATGGTCGAAGATGTGCTTCATCCTCTGACAGTGTACGCTTGAAGAGCTGATGTTCCGGATTGTGACTGTGCACACTTCCTCTAGGTTATTTCTGAGTCTCTCTGGAATGAGTGTAATTAATAGTATACCGGACTGTGTATCTAAGGGATGTGAACTGCAGTATTCCAAAGGCTGAAGCTCTGCTGTTTTGTTATAATGCCTGATAAACATCTTGAATAAAGTCTTAACATTTTTCTTTTAAAAAAAAAGTGTAATGTTGGGCTTATGAGAAGTACTTTTTAAAAAAGATTTATTATTTTGGTGGTTTTTAAACAATTATTGACCTAGGCCAGCAAGTCATTCCTCAGTGGTCCTAAGGCAGACTACCAGAAGATGAAAAGATATAGAAGATAGGAAACCTATGTCTTATACCAGACAAGTTTGTTAAGAAGTACAGCATCTTTGTTTGGTTTTGTTCTTTGTTTTTGTTTTTTTCTTCTTCAAGACAGAGTTTCTCTGTATAGTCCTAGAACTTGCTCTAGCTGCCCTTGAACTCAGAGATCCCTCTGCCTCTGCTTCCTGAGTGTTGGAATTAGACATGTGTCACCCCTACCCAGTGAAGTACAGCATCTTATATGTAGTTTAGGGAAGGGGAAGGGTCAACAGAAAGCCCATACAATGACCTTAAGTCATTAGGAAGCTGACCAAGCAATGTGGTACAAGGGGGACACAGAATATCTCAAGTGCATCATAAACAGAGCACACATCAGTTTTGAGACTGATAACTTGTCTTTTTAAGAGAAAAATTCAACCAAAACAAAACCTTAACTCCTTCCTTCGAGACCTTGACCCCAGCTCCAGACCAGACCTTGCCAAATCTACCCTTGGCAAGGACAAAGAACTAGGTTCCTTTTGTCCTTTCTTTTTTTTTTTTTTTTCTTTTTTTTGAGACGGGTTTTTCAGTGTAGCCCTGGCTGTCCTGGAACTCACTCTGTAGACCAGGCTGGCCTCGAACTCAGAAATTCGCCTGCCTCTGCCTCCCAAGTGCTGGGACTAAAGGCGTGTGCCACCACTGCCCAGCTCTTTTGTCCTTTCATCAAGGCCTCTGAGAAAGCCTTGGATTGGCCTGGCTCTCAGCAAATTATGTATATGTGTGCGTCTGTATGCATGAGTGCAGGTACTTGAGGAAGCCAGTAGAGGGCATCAGATTCATTGGACTTGGAATTACAAGTGGTTATAAACCACCAAGTGTGGGTACTGGGAGCCAACCTTGGCTCCTCTTAGCACTCTTAACCACGGTACCATCTCAGCAATCCCAAAACACGTTTTAAAATGTGGGTAGGGCTGGGAAGATAGCTTAGAGAGTCAAAGTACTTGCTAACAAGTCTGATGACTTGAGTTTAATCCACAGGACTCCCATGGCAGAAGGAAAGAAGACACTCCTGCAAATTTTCTTTTATCTCCATGTGTATCTCTCCCACTCCCAACCCCCAAAATTAAATAAATAAAATGTAACAGAGAGAGAGAGAGAGAGAGAGAGAGAGAGAGAGAGAGAGAGAGAGAGA